GTTTAAACTATATATTATATTTTTAAAAAAGTTTTTAAAACTATATATTATATAGTTTTCGAAAAATGTTTTAAAAATATTATATAAGTTTTCAAAAATGTTTTTAAAACTATATATTATATAATTTTTCAAAAATATTTTTAAACTATATTATTATAATTTTTCAAAAATGTTTTAAAAAAACTATATACTATAAGTTTTCAAAATGTTTTAAAAAATATAAATAAATGTTTTCAAAACTATATATATATCTTTTAAACTACTTTCAAAAACTATAATATATAATTTTTCGAAAATCGTTTTCTAAAAATTATATTTTGTCAAAAACATTTTCACAAACTATATACAATATATATATATATAACAAAATAACTCTAGACGAAAATGAGTGTCTACAATACGAAATGAATCAAAAGATATATTTAATTTTCAAAATTGAAATTTAAAAGCTCCGTCCTTTATTACAATGACGAAACTAGATTCTAGTTTAAGGGGCAAAGTATCAATAATAATAAAAGAGTGGGAAGGGCAATGTCAAAATAAATCAAAACCCTATCTATTAATAAAAAATAATAAAAGAGTGGGATGGGCAATATCTATTAACTTTATAGATATTTATCTTTATACATTTTTAGTAATAAAAAAAATAAGAGAGCATTGGCTCCATGAAACTACACATAGTTTGTCCCTATCTATTAATAATGTCATTACTTTAGTGATCCACGTTAATAGAATATTCGATAATTAACATTGTTAACTATGCAATAATTTTATCACGTTTCTAAAGTTCATGAAAAATATTGATTTAAAAAGATTTAAAAATGAATTTAATTGAAAAAAATTAAAAAAATATATTATTATTATTATTTAATTTAGAGGTAATTTGTGTTTTAAGCAAAAGAAAAACATAGACGCTATTAGGACCATTGGGACGGACAAAACCTCAAATGCCTACTTCACATAATATCTTAATTTATATGATATTTTGTATAATTGATTATAATCATTTCATTTTAATGGTTAATTAATTTATTTAAAATTAGATAACTCATATATCATTATAAAATATCATATATAAAATTAAGTTATATGAATAGTGTTTTTAGTATTTTTAATTTTTTAATAATTTAATTTTTATTTTAGTATTTTTATATTTAATTTTTTAAATGTTTTATATTTTAAAAGTAAATTTTAAAATATTTTTCTTTTTTTTAAAAAATCAAATATATTTTGAGCTTAAACAATAATAATTTAGCCCTCGAACTGGATAAAAAAACCAATTTAGCCCATCTTTTATGTCATCAGTTACCGTAGACCACCATGTCAATACTGTTACCGTCACATCAATATCGTAACGATTAACAATAAAAATCGTTGGTGATCATATTGGATTCGTGAGTTTGAAGACCACATTGATTACAAAAATAATCTGAGGACCACATTTGTTTTTTGAAGGAAAAAAAATTAAGGGCTTCACGTACCATTAAGCGATAAATTTCAATTCAATTTTCTAAAGCATGGTGAGGAGTATTTTCTAATGTTACTATAAAAAGGATAATTTGATCAAATCTCCACCAAATTTTCCATCAGATTAATAGCAACATGTGGATCAAATCAATCACATGGGATAGTAGTTGCCCTCTTGCTTTCAAACTAAACAAGAAAGAAGGAAAAGAGAGTACCTCATTCATATAAACCCAGCTTTGCTTAATGTGTGTATATATATATATATATATACTAGTTCACTGCATGCTATATGTATATATATCTATCAGAAATTACAATGAAGAAGGTCACCATTTTAGGGCATGAAGTGAAAGGCCCTCATGAAGTTTGAGTATACCAAGAGCTCTGGCTAGTCTGAGGGAGAGAAAGCAAAAGTAGATGGCTAAGAGCCCACCTCCAAGGAACTTATCCAATCTCATATTTTTCCTTGGCAAAATGACCAGTGCCCAAAGCAAGCCTGCCATTAGAAACCCCAGTGTCTCATAAAGGGTAGGGTCTCTTGGGATTTCAAATGAAGCAGGGTATACTGACCACGATGACCAAACAAATGATACCCCCAAACCCACCAGTGTGTTAAACATGGGCCCAGCATAGCACCCTGAGATGGCAGTTTGAACCCCATCTGCCCCACCATTCAGTGCCATTGCTGAATTGGATATCAAGTCCCCAAGTGAGTTGCCCCATGCAAGGACAGTGAGTCCCAGAACTGAAGGACTTATCCCCAAGATATTCCCAAAAGAAACCAATAAAGATACCAGTTCCTCAGCTGTAAAATATGTCCAGGACACACTCATAAGGAATCCTCCAATGAGCCAGGGTAATTGACACCTCTTTGGTGGCTAGATTTCTTGGTGGTCACAAATGCTAGGTTCCCTAACACCAATCCAACCAACCCTGCAACCATATAGGTCACCAAACTGGTGTTGGAACCCATGGCTTTTTCCCTTTGAGAGTTGCAGAGTTCAGCCAACATTAGGGGTGCTAATGTCATTGAAATGACTGCATACGGCTTGGACCATCTATCCTCATTGATCACTGGAATGGTCAATCTCCTTGGCAAGTACAAAGGTAACTCCAAAAGATACAGAAACTTACCAACGTAGTAAAAGCTCGGTGATTCGAAGTCGAAAATCTTTGGGGTTTCCTCTTGATTTCCATTAGTTTCTTTATCCACAAGCAAAGATTTTCCATCACTTGCATAACCTAGCAATGGTATCCCAACATCTCCTATGTTATCAGTGGAGACTGGTATGGACTCCATGTTACTTTCATTGCTTTTGTAGAAGAAATGTGATGCAGAAACAGCAAAAACATACAGGAAGTAGATGGAAACAAAGGAAATAGCTCCCCCCAAAGTGATTTCACCTACAAAAAAGATAAACATGAGGGAAGAAAGTGCTAAAAGGAAGAAGATGATGTCTCTAATGAAGCTCGGTTTGTCGACTGGAATCCGATGACTGCTGATAATTATACTAATAACCCCGACGACAGGACTAGACACAAAGAAGGCACCACCCAACACACTATTGAGACCAACACCTCCATTTCCGGACCCTGTGAAAGAAACAATACTGGCAAAAACATCGGAAGCGCCATTTCCGAGTGAAAGGAGGGTGACTCCGGCAATGGCAGGGGAAAGCCTCAGTATTTTAGACAAGGTCTCTAAGGAAGTGCAGAAGTAATTTGCTGCAGTATCACCCAATAGATAGAACAAAACTAGCAGCCATGTTAAGAGCACAAGATGGCCAAGGATTGGAAATCCTCCACAAGTGCAATAAAAGATCTGGAGATAGTTTATGTACCCTTTAGGCCTGCACCCGATTTCGGACTTCACATACAAGCACCTTAGCCTATAATCAGTGAAGTCATGGAGACTGGCGCAGCTATCATTGTTACTCCCATGGGGGGTCAAAGGGTGGTTATTAATGATGGGAATTTGCCCATTATTGGATTGGCCAAGAAAATCATAACTTATAATAAAGAAGAGGAGGAAAACAAAGGATATGTTAAGGAAAAGAGGGAGCTTCTTAGGCAGAAACAATGAAGTTGCCATTAACAGTTTGATAACACGAGAAACTTTGCAGAAATGATTTTTAAGGGTGTAGATACTGAGAAGTGATTCAAATGATGGATTCTCTTTCAAGCTTTGTTATACGGAGAGGGAGGTATAATTTCCCATGAAGCAAATATCAAGAAAATAACAGTAAACAATGAGCACAAATGTTTCATTTCTCCACAAATAGTGTTTAACAATCTGTATTTTAGCTTGGGGTTTTACATGTGCTTTTAACGCGTCCAAGTTTACACCATTAAAGTAATGTTTGGAAGATGAGAAAGTGGGAGAAAATGTCTATTTTTTCCTCTGTTTGTTGTTTCAGTTCCCTCGAGAGAATATGTGAATTTCAATGGATTTCTGTGTGTTTGCTTTAACACTGTGGAAGGGGGCAAACCTTTGCTTGTTTATTGATTACAAAGTTATAGGCATTTTATGGCTTGTACCTCTAATATGTACTAAGGCAAGGAAATTTCGCAATGCAAAAGCTTTTGATGCAATTCTTTCGGTCCCGTTGCCCTATTAACATTCGTCTGTGCAATTGTTGATCAATAACTGATATAATTAAATGGAATTTGAGTTCTTGATATCGCTTAAGCAAGTCTCGAGTTTGAGTCTTTGTATCTACAGAAAATATTCGTTAGGAGTCTCATCCACCAAAATTAAATGTGCGATACAAGTCAATTTGGATTAATCGGTGCAAAACCTTGGAAATCGGGAGAGAAAAAAAACAACTGATAATCAAATGGAATTCTATTAGAGCATGTCTCCTAATGGCATGTAGTAGATTAATGAATTTTGTTGGTATAAAGAGTTAGGTATCCGTATGCATCTCTTTAACAAGCTTTTGTTTTGCATCGCTATCCTCTAACTTGCCCTTCAAACTTTCATTATTTTTTTTCATATTTTAGTTTTGCATTAAAATAGAATATGCGACTCTCGATTGTTGGAATAGATAATAACCGTAGATGGTGATCGGAGGGTTTCTCGGGTGATTTTAGTTTGGGTTTGTTGTGTCTTAGATTGTACGTACATTTACTCTCTGTTATATGATTATTTATAATACTTGGATAGATGTCAATAGAGAGTTATCGTAGTATTAGTGTTAATAGGATGTTTTAGGAAATGATGATATAGACTTAAATAGTCATCAAATAAGGACACATATGTTAACATGTGGTCGTCATATACATCGGAATTGTAAATGAGATACACGTGTTGGCTGGTTAAGATTCGTTGGGCACAATTTGCATATCTAAAAACTTTGCATTGGGTCGCGGATCGATGAAGTTTGATAGTTTGGATAGGTAACAGTGACCTATTTTATTGAAATTCACGTATCTTTTGCTAAAATAAGGGGGAAATGGTATTTTAAATACTATTTTTATATGAATCATGAATATTATTTATTTATATGTTTAATAATAAAAAAATAAATAAATATGAAAATTCAAATAAAGTTGAGTGGTAGTTTACTAATCAAACCTAGTTATATGAAGCAAGTAAAGGGGCCTAAAATTGGGGTAAACCTTGTTGAGCCATAATATAGCCCACGGACTACTGTAGAGCTGACTCGCCATTATAAGCCCAGCAGTAATGTTTATCCTCTAGAAGGTTGTTGTCGTACGATGTCGGGTTTTTCTTATTAATCTGGAGTGAATATAAAGTAGTATTTGTTTAAAGACTCTCAATTATTTGATATTAAATATTTATACATTTCTGCATACGTAATGCTTGAATTCAGAACATCAAAAAATGACAACAATCCTTTAACTATTAAGATCGCTTGGTTCGTGATAATATCTATTCTTTTGTGTATATAACCAAAAATAAAGTTGTACGGAAAAAGTTATTTTGTAATTGAATTTCAATATAATTGAATAAAATTATATAATAATGATGTGTTTAAATAATTATAATAATCGTTAAATTTAATCTAGACGGAGTCATCCAATTAAATATTCTAATAATTGAATTTATATGACTATATAATTATAATTTATAATAACAAATATAAAATAAAAATTTAAAATACAATTATACTCCATTGAATAAATATATTTAAAAAAATAATTTTTTTATAATTACACAAAAATCTAATAAAAAAATACTCTGGAAAAGCAGTCCACCTGAAGTTGCAGCGTGTATTAATCTTGGAATGCGCCAACTTTTAAAAGAGGTGAAATTTTAGTTTTAATTCCTTATGTTTTACCTTATGTTTGATTTGGTCCATCCAATTGTCAAAGTCTGGTCTATTTGCTGATAAAAATGGAAAAATTACAAAATTATGTTGGATCAAGTTGAGTTTACATCCATATCTCAGGGTGGGTTCGGAACAAGTGCATATCAATTTTCCTCAAATATGGGCGGATTCTAATATGATAATCGAACTTTTAATTTTATCAATCAAATCACTTAAATTTACATGATGGATAATTTGATTTATTTATAAAAGCATAAGTTAGGTTTATAAAAATATTTATACACAACCGGATATCCAAGTTTTATAGCATAAAAATAATAATTAAAATAATAACAGAGTTACGTACTAAAATACATATAATGATCCTATAGATACATATGCCCTCTAAAATAACTGAAACGATACTCTGAATTGGAGATGCTAAAATCCCTTCAATTATAGTGCTCCTCAACAAGGTTTCTAATCTATTAACCTATAAACGAAAACATCTGAACATTAAACTTTACAAATTCAATATAATACTTATACTCTATTATACTTCATATAATTCATAAATGTAAACAAGTAAATTAGTATATGTATAGAGGAATGAATCTAAACATATGAAATTATTACAAGAAGTAGCATGCTTTCCATTGCTCATTTATAAACTAAATGATAGAAATCTCATTTATAATCTAGTTCTAGTCTCTAAGGCTTATTTTCATATACATGTCCCTATAAATAAATTATCTAATTTCACTTAGCATCAAATCACATGGTGTCACGTAGTAATTAGATAAATAACGATAATGGTACCTAGTGTCATCAAGCAATCATGTATTGTTCCACTAAATAGAAACATAAGATATGAATGCTCGGTGTCACTTAACAATCACAATTGTCTGGCACATCTACTACCATATGTGGTCATATACATACATAGGTACATAGGCCACACACATCAATCCAGGGATAGACACAAGATCTTATGCTAGGGGGTGAACTTCTAAAATTTTAGGAGGGGTGAACTTCTAAAATTCTAAAGGGTAAAAACATATTATTAACTTGAAAACAAAAAAAAAAAATTAAAATATATAATAATTTGATATTTTCAGGGGAGAGAATACCTCACTCGCCCCTTTTGTTCCATTCCTGCATCAACCAATGCCCTCTACATAATCATGTCATTTTTTAAATCAACAAGGAACTATGTTTATTTCCTTTTGTCAAATTCTATGCAATTGTCAAAGTCTGCTTTGTATATCTCTATTTTCCCAATAAAAATAGAAAAATAGAAAAATTATGTCAGATCGAGTTGTGTTTATATCTCATATCTTCGGGTGGGCACGAAACATGTGCAATAACAATTTTTCTCAAAGGTAGTTAAATTCAAATGAAATTTACTATATTTTATATTAGAGTCAAGGTAGTAAAAAAATCTATCTTTTCGTATCCCATCCTATTACCATCTTTATCTATATGTCATGATAAACACTAAAACCCTTCTCTCTCCAAATTTTGTTAGTACACATGCAAATAATATTTAGAGTAAATTATATTTGTGATCACTTAATTATAAGTAGATTCTAGTATGATAATATATCTTTTAATTTTGTCAATCAACTTAACTATTGTAACACCTTAAACTTATCTCGTTAATAAGAGTAGGCCTAAGATGCCATATTGGACCACTAAAGTGACCGACCAAAATTTAGAAACCTTTTAAATTCACATGATGGATAATTCCATTCACTTATAAAAGCATAAGTAAGGTTTACAAAAATATTTATGCACAATTGAAGCTTCAAGTTTAATATTATAAAAAAATAATTGAAATAATAACAGAGTTACAAATAATCTGACATCTCAAACCTGATCATCATCAGATGGGTCTGAGATGTCAGATTGGGTTGTCAAAGCAACCACCGAACTTAAAAACTTTTTTCCATTTTAAAACACAATATGATTTATCAAAATATGATATTCATAACATATATAAAATATTTATACAAATTGAAGTTTCGTGATACTTTAGTTTAAACCAAAAGAATACAAATCTCAAAGTTTACAAACCAAATACTTGATTAAGACTCCTATGAATACACGTGTCCACCAAAAGTAACAATACTATAGTATGGAGGAATATGTTGGAAATTCTAATACGATGGTACTCCTCAAGCATCCAAACTTTGAGCTTTACAAAGCTCGCAAGTATATCGTTAATCTAACGTACATTATGAATCTTATAAACAAAAGTATGCTAGCATAATAAACAATGAATAATGATTATATATTCACTAATCCATAATTAAGGGCCTAACCTTGAATATATTTTAGTCTCTAGACTCAACAACGTGCAAGCCATGCCTTAATCACATGTGCATACACAATTGTAGCATAATATTCACTAGTTATCACTGATCTACACCTTAAGATCATCATATAGAATTTAATATCTAACTTTAGGATTTGCATCTACAATATTAATCATCTCTATGGTCTAATGGTTTCACCTAGCCTCAGGCACCATGCAATTATACATCAAGTCATACACATGATCACAATTTTAGCACTCGATATCATAATAACATCTCAGGCACTTAACATGAATGAAGAAACCTAATATCACGTATACCTCAATTTGCAACTCCGATAGACAGTAAAATGAGCATGTATGCATACCATTTGAGACTCATCTTATAAGTTATTTGAGTATTGGATATCTGAGTACATAGTGGAAGCATGATAATTGTGGAAGTAATTCTGGATAAGACCAAAAAGGGAGAAAACATTCTTGATTGAAAATATTTGTACTATGAGCCCCAATGAGAACCATATTCCTATAAAAAAAAGTTTAAGTGAGCTTAAGAGAACTCTATAACCATGAATTGAAACTGAATAAATTTCGAGGACGAAATTTTTCTAAGGATGAAAGAGTTATCACACCCTAAATGGGGGGGGGGGTTTAGAAGTTTGAGAATCGATATGCATCTATTGAAATGGAAATCAAATTACAATGGGTCAAAATAGAAGAAAATTATGTGTTAAGGGGCTTAATTGAAATATTCTAGGAGTTTAAGGACTTATTTGTAAATGAATATTAGTAATTGATGGATAAATTAGATAATGGTGTAGTTAAGGGATCCTATTGAAATGGAATTGAAAGTGTTGGTAACCAAATTGAATAGATTTAAAATTATGAAACCAATTCGATAGGAATGTTGACTAAACTAAATATGGGGTAAAGCTTAGGTCAATTTCATGAACCCTAGAAAGTCCAGGGTCACGCCTAGTAATTTATCTAAATTAATTTGTATAAATGCAAATTAATATACCATAAAACTGAAATATCTGCCATTCTATGGAATATATGTGTCGTCCTTGTCGATTTTCTTTGGAATCCTCACTGGAGGTGATTCTTGGCCATTGTGCATCGTCGTTCGATGTTCTATGATCATCGTGTTTTAGGTTTCAAAGGACTCATCTCAAATCTGCCTTTGGTTTCACGAAAGAATGCTCATTGCTTGTTGAATCAGACGAAATCTATGACTTCATCATGTCTTCGTCGTAAAAAGCTCTAATAATAGCCTCATTCTCTCCCTTTCTCTTCTGGTTCTTCTTTTTCCTTCTTCTCTTTCTTAATCATTTTATTTTCGGCGTTGACATGTTAATTGTGCATCAATAAGAGCTGTTGTTACGCTATTGTCTCTGTTGCTGTCGTCTCTATAACCAAACCCTAGACAATGTTGAAGCTGGAGAGAAACCCTGGAAGGTTGGGCCAACCAACTAGCCCAATTGTCCAGGCCTGCATCCAGCCCAACTCTAAGCGATATTAAGTTGCGTCAATTCTAGAAAGCACAAAACTCTCATGCCTAACCCATCTAAAGTCGAATCGAACCGGTGACCAAATTGAATTGTAAACCAAATGATTGACCTACCCGACTCGAATTGACCATTGACTAACCAAACCGGTTTAACCGCTGAGTCGACCCGATTCAACCCATGATTGACCTGACCCAGTATCGTAGATTGTTGAACACCGCCATTAACCATTGACCGCCACCGTTAACCATTGACTTTGTAGCATTGATTTTCGACCTGGAGTTCTTGGAAAAGGAAAGCTTGATGCAACATGCTCGGAGGCTCCAAGCAGAGGCAGTACATGCTATGGTCACAAACATTTGCATGGTATGAGGCCTAACAAAGGAGAGTGGAACACAACATAGTTTGGCTGCCACCTCCTTTGGGATGGTGCAAATTGAACAGCGATGGAGTACGACAGACATAATCTGGCCTAGCTATTTGTGGAGGAGTGGGTCGGATGCAAATGCAGACTGGATTATGGGTCTTACAAAAGCAATTGGTGTTTGTGCTGTGATAGATGCAGAACTGTGGGGAGTTTTAGAAGGAATGACGATGACATGGAACCGAGGGATACGAGATATCATCGTTGAAACAGATAACAAAGATATACTTTCAATGATGAGCCAAGGGTTTGCTATGGAGGTGCTATCGTCGATGGTTCCATATATTGTGAAACTCTTGAAGAGAGAGTGGCGAGTAACGTTGTGCTACGCGTCCAGAGTGGGGAATAAGGTTGCGGATGAATTAGCTAAATTAGCATGGGATCTTCCGTTTGACCTCCATCTGTTCCGCCAACCTCCAAGTGCAGTAGAGCAGCTGCTGGGAAAAGATAAGCTGGGGCTACAGACGCAATTATAGTTCTGTAGATTAGAATTGTTAGTTTCTGTTCTTTTCTTTCCAGTCATAATAATAATAATAAATAAATGAATGAATTTTCAAGTTTAGAAAAATATTCATATAAAATTAAAACAAAATTACCACCCAGTTTGTATAAATAGTCTTTTTGCACCTTATTTTTTTAGAGTATTTTATCCTCTAACTTTTTAATTTTTTGTCAAAATATACATTGTTAGATGAAAATTATTAGTTGACTAACGATTAACCCATGTTATTAATGTGATATTTTTACATGTGTCTAATTATTGACATTACACATGCCACATCATCACTTTTGGTGAGTGTCACACGTCGTATCATCAATTAAATACATGAAAATATTACGTCAACAACATGTGTTTACTTTTAATAATTTATCGATTTTCATCTAACATGATCTATTTTAATAAAAAATTAAAACATTAAAAAATAAAGTACTTCTAAAAAGAATAAAGAAAGAGATAAAAGGACTATTTATACAAACGTTGACAGTAAATTTTGTCTTTATGATTAAAACAACAAAAAGCCCATAATAGAGAATAGGCCCATCAAAATAAATATCCATTACGAATATCCCTTCCATTCTCATGTAAGCGCGCCTTGTGAACGGATAAACTCTGCTGGCTCCTTTCATTCTCTCTCTCTCTCTCTATATATCTCAAAGCTCTGAAACAAAAATGGAAATGCTGGCAAGCTCTAGTGGCAAACGAAGCACGGCGTGCAATGCTCAACCATCGCATTTCACTTTCTCTCGCCGTTGCAAATTCCTTTCGTCTCCAAATCGACCTCGCTTTCTTAGTCCTCAAAAATCGTCTACGTCTTCTTCTCTCTCGCTGCTATTATCGAGAAATGGCATCGGGTGTAACAGCTTTTCCATTAAAGCTTCGTCCGAGCTGGAGGTTTCTGACTCTGTTACTGGTGCTGTGCTGTTGCTGGTGGTTCAGTTTACTGCAACCTGTTTCTGTCAAAATTCTGTTTGGAAATAGAGAGGTAAGCTTAGAGAAATTGTTATTTTACTTTTATTATGAAATTTTAGTCGTGGATGGAGTACAAAGTAAAAGCAACTGGTAGAAACTAGAGTATTTTACAACTTAAATTTAGAATCCTGAAGTTCGTTATCTAAATATTTCAGCTATTCAAAAAATTACGTTGCTTGCTTTGGTTGAATGTAGTCTTTTTACCATTAGCTTGCCCAAAAAAAAGTAAAATCTTAGCAAATTCAAAATAAGGTGTTATTACTCGAACTTCATACTGAAAATTTTTTAGGAAATGAGTTTATGACATCTCTCTCCTATTGCAATAGTTGGGAAAATACATAGGCAGTTTTCTTAGAAATGGTGGCCTTAAATTTTTAGCATTTCTTTTCTTGCTAAGATTTTGCACTTTGGGTTAGTTAAAATGCTAGTTTTATTTTGGCGTTGTTTCTTCTTGGGTTTCATAGTGATAATCAGGTGAATACTGAACCCAGTCTGATGCTAACAAATTAGATAAGTGATTTTGTTGCATGTTGCAGATTCTTATTGAGACAGGTCATATAGGGAGGCAAGCTAGTGGCTCTGTGATGGCAACTGATGGAGAAACAGTAAGTGCTGATTACCTTGTATACATGTGTAATGTGTTCCTATGAAAACGTATTCAAATTCATTGCATTAAGATTTTTTTTTTTGTATCTATTTTTCACATGTTAAACGAAATAGTGGAGGCTTATTATTATTATTATTATTTTTTTGTAGATTGTATACACATCTGTTTGTTTGTCAGATGTTCCAAGCGAGCCTTCTGATTTTTTTCCTCTTAGTGTTACTTATCAAGAACGTTTTTCGGCAGTAGGTCGGACTAGGTGTGTCTTTTTCTATCATTTATTCGTTATTTTAATTAGTTGAAATGAACGTATGTATCATGCTTAATTTTTTTGTTGTTGCTTCAGGGGTGGTTTCTTTAAATGAGAAGGGAAGACAAAGGATAATGAGGTACTGGTCACTGTCCAACCATGTAAAATTTTTAGACCCAGTTGACATATGAAGAATTTTTGGAACTATGGTCGCTAACTTACTATTTTGCTTGGAAGTGGTTGCTCCATCCATTCTATCATTTAATCACTTTATCATTGTAAACTGTCCAAACTAAGACGCCCTTGTTCAAAAAGATAGTATATTTAATGCTTCAGTTTCCCTTATTACTGTCATGGTTACTGTTAAAAGGTAAGACACCCCACTGCACAAACTATTGCTTTGATCACCATTATTGTCACTTTCCTCTTCCAGATAAGAAGTTTCATAAACAGGTCTATTTCTATAGTATGCCTCTTTAAAGGGAAAGTGGAGTCCGCCCTTTATTTTAATTTTTTTCTTTCCAGTCACTCGTAGCTTTTCTGTTTTATCAATTTTCTTTCTATCTTTATGCTATGATAAAGATATCTTAGAACTACGTATAGGAGATATGAACAATAGATCTCTAGCATTACGGTAGGTTAGGGAACTAGTTTTTCCTCTTGGTTTAACACTGAGATTGATTGTATCGCAGACAAAACTTGGCAAAGGTAAAAAATTATTATGTTAGGTTAGGAACTAATTTTCGCTCTTGATTTTGTATTCTTAGGACCATACTTGTGACATTTCAGTAGAAATCACTGCTGCTACTATTCAGTGTAGGAAGCAAGTTTAATGTTCTGTTCTCTGTACCTTAAGTGTAACATTTCTTTTTTGCACTTGTTGGATGTTAATGGATATTTGGGAACTCTTTGAGTCTCTGTTATCTTTTTAAGCAGGAATTGTGAGATCAAATCAATAGTTCTATATGGAGTTTTTGTTGAGATAGCTCCAGGGCGAGAGGTACATATTTTTATCCAGAAAATTGCACATTTTTTTGTATAAAAGTTTGATTATTTTTTCAGTCACCTTATTTCCAAGTTTAAGGAATATGGAATTTGTTTTACATAGGAAGTTTTCTCCTTTGCTTTAACTCACATTTCCACTTGTTTTTAAGTGAGGTTCTTACAAAGAGCGTGACTACTCTTATCAAAGTTATTGATATGTATAAAACATACATATATACGCATTATTATTGGTGGTGCCTTTCGTAGTTTTGTGTATGACTTTGAATTGAATCAATTGAGTAAAGTATCGGACCAAGAGCCTATGGTGCTTGAAATACTATCAAATTTATAAAAGGAATATGTAAGTTTTTCAATGACGAGAACGAGGAGATTCAAATATATATATATATATATAAATTCTGCTTTCTCAAGGACTTTGCCGCATTAGTGAGCTGACTTCAGACTGGTTGGCCAAGGCAGAAGATGTAAGCATAGTTTTTCCCTTTTTTTTTATTTCTTTTATCCTCAACTTGCAGATGCATTATCATTATAAGCTACTGAAATTATTATTGATTGTAACTTTTTCCATCATAGGCTGTTAAAGTTGGCGATCGTGTTGATGTTAAACTTATCGAGGTAAGCAACTTGTTTTTGTCTTGTTAATTCAACCATAAAACTTAAATATGGCGAATGATATTCACTTAAAATTGATTTATCCATGCATTTTTCTGCCCTGCTATATTCACTTTGTATCATGCAAGGACATTGCTAATTGTTAGGTGGTGATATCTCATTTCTATTAAGTGTCAGGTCTCCTTTGTTTTTGTTTAAAGTAAGGCCCCTCACCTGTCACCAATTGGTTTTAGGTTCGATGCTTAATACGGTATCAAAACCCAAGTTTTGTTATGTTGTTCTTCCAACCTAACCCCATGTGAGGTTAACCCTTGCTGAGGTTGTCTGCGTAGGCCGTATGAGCTAGATGTGTAGGCTCCGGTAAGCGACATGCGAGGAGCGTTAAGTGGTGTTATCCCATGTTTCTAAAGATTAAGTTTCTTGTGGTTATCCCATGTTTCTTCTTTTTTTTTTTTTATTATTATCAAAAACTTTATGTTCTATACATTTGATATGGACTTCCTACATAATAACTCGATGACTTGACTGGATGTTTTACTATTATTTTGTGACATGTTCATGCAATACTCAACCATTCTATGGGCTCGAACTATAGATCCCAGTACTGTGTATTTCAAATATTTAATCTATGAGATGGTAAAAGTGGTTTCCAAATTTTTATCCTTTCTGTTGGTCTTGTAAATCCATCAAAGTGCTAAATTGTTACTGTTCTTAGTCTTTCTTCTGAACATTTTTCCTTGATAGAATCTTTCTCCATTAACTGTGTCATCTAATGCAGGTTAATGATAAGGGAAAACTACGCCTCAGCCGACGTGCACTTCTTCCCGTTCCTGAAACAAGTCCAGAAGATCCCAGTTCAAAGCAGCTTACCGGCAACAAAGCTGAAGTTGTTGTTGCTGATTCTGGTAAATCAGAGAAGATTGAAGAGGCCAAGGTTAAAAGTAGTGGTAACAAACTGTCCAAAAGTGATTCTGAGGAGACCTCTCCACTTGCAAGAAAAAAGGCTTTCAAGAGAGTAAAGAAGAGTGGCGGTAAAGCTGTGACCGGTGTCTCCGGAAAAGATGGAGAATAGTCAATTATGGAATGGAAGTGTTATGGTTCTGCTGACAAGAATTTCCATCTCCGATCAACGTTGTGCCAGAGGTGACAAAATAGCTTCCTTACATACAAGAATCAGAGGCAGTGCCTGTGGAAAGCAGTCGATTTTAATTAGGGGAAATAAATTGTTAGAAATGAACTTTTTGTTCATCCTAAAATCTAGTGTTTTAATTTACTTAGGATTAGGTTTTATGTTTTCAACCTAAATTCTAGAGTTTCAATCGGTAGAAAGGAATCGTTGTTGTTTCTGGAGGTTATGGGTTCGAGCACGACGGTTGCAAGAGTGATTAAATGTTTATTGTCAAATGGGTGAGAGTATTTATAACATATATTAATTTGTAATCACCTTAGCTTAATAATAAAAAAATTTACTTACGATTAGGTTTTATTTGTTCATCCTAAATTCTAGTGTTGTAATTTACTTAGTATTAGGTTTTATCTATTCAGCCTAAATTTTGTGTTCTAATTTACTTAGTATTAGGTTTTATCTATTCAGCCTAAATTTTGTGTTCTAATTTACTTAGGATTAGATTTTATCCTTTTAAAAGATAAGATTAATTATTTTAGGAGATAAAGATTAAGAATATTATATTTAGTTAAAATTTACTTTTGTAATTTGGGAATGTTTCTAGTAGGCTTGTAAACAAATCGAACATTTCACGAACTGTTCAACGAGAAGTTCGTTTATGTTGGTTAATTTTTTAAACAAACAAACATGAATAAGATTTAATGTTCGTTTAGTTAAATGAACAAATATGAACAAAGGGCTCGTTTGTTTATTTACGTTCTTGAACGCTCGATAATCTGTTCGTTTATGTTCATTCATATATGTTTGTTTATGTTCGTTTATGTTCGTTCGTTTATTTTCATCCCAATCTCCAAACTCGTTTAAAATATGAAGACATAATAATTTTAATCTTAAACCCATTAACATTTTAAAACTTGATAAATTTTAAACTCAAATAAAAATACCCAAATTAATTAAGGAATGTAAACCCTAAAATTGTTTAGAAAGAAAATAACTTTTCTCAAATACAAAACCAATTAATTTTATGTTCGTTTTCGCTCGTTCGTTTGTTTTTCGTTTACGTTCTTTATTTGTGTTCGTTTATTATTTTATCAAATGAACATGAACAAATACGAACAAGAAATTTCGTTCGTTTGTTTAGCTAAAGTTAAACGAATAAACTTATAGGCTTAGCTTCTAGCATTGGAAAAGTGATTTTCCAATCGATAAACAATGTTAATCACTCAAAAATTGATTTAAAATCATGGTTGGAAAAGTAATTTTTAACCTAACCTCATTAGCTCAAATTTCTAGCTTGTGAAAAATCATTTTTGGGTGAAATTATATTTTTATCCTCAAATATTATATTTTCAGTTTACAACATAATATCTAAAATGAACATTATATCTTTTTAAAGGCTTAATAGAAAAAAATACATAAATTATACCTTTTTTCTATTTAGGTGTAAATTTTTTCCGGTCAATCCAAATGTCTAAGTTACAAACGTTATCATTCTAAGTGTCTTGATCGTAACCGCTGTTAAAAATTTTGTTAAGTGACGTGTCACATTTATTTTTTTGAAATTTTTATTTTTTAAAAAAACTTTGAAATTAATAAAAATAAAATTTCTTCCATAATCTTTTTTTGTCAACCCAAAACCACTAAATCCTTAACCCTTAAATAAATGAATGAGATCCTAAATTTCTAACCCTAAATTTAGTGGGTAGAGAGGAGAAATTTGTCCTAGGGAAGGTGAGAGGGACGTCCAGGGGACTGGGAGGGAAGAGGGGATTTTTAATATTTTATTTCTTAAATAAAAATTCAAAAAATATAAACATGACATGTGTTATTTAACAGATTTTTAACGACTTTTATGGTCGGGGCACTTAAAATGATAACGTTTGTAAATTTAGGTACTAGGATTAACCGAAAAATAGTTTAGACACCTAAATGAGAAAAACGATATAGTTTGAGTACTGTTTTTTATATTAAGGAAACATATGTTGCCCAAGTGGGATATTGTTGGATTAAAATCCATAATTATGGGCACATATTTTTCATATATATTGTTATCATAAAATATGACATAAATTAAGTGACCAATTATGTTGTAAAGTCATAAGGTATTAGACGTTTCATAGAAATAAAAGTGTAAATACTATTAAAGTTGTATTTATAATTTGATGATGGGCAAAGTTATAAATACAGACAATAACTAATTCTTAACACAACTATATAAAGGGTTATGGTCCCCAAGAAATAGATCATCTCGCATTACTCTTATCCCTGTCAAAGAGTTTTTACTTAAGAGAATTCTATCTTATTGAAAGATTCAAGAATTTCAACCTATAGATTACTTTAGGTACGCTTCCACAAATCTAGTTTATTTTATTCTTGATGGTTTGACATGATTAGATCCTAGATAGTTTTCATATTTATTATGGTTTGGTTCTAACATAAATTCATGTACGAGATTAATAAGAGATTTTATAAATATTACAAATTTTCAATATTTTTATTGAGTATTTGTAATATAATTTAATATAGGATGATGAATTCTTTATCATTAATTTTCTTTAAACTCTTTGTGAGGGAAATCTTCACACTCCGGTTTGCCTATTCATTATGATTAGTAGGCCTGGTTAGAGTTTGCCCAGTCAATTGCGATTATAAGGGTTTGTAGGACAACTATCCATCTATATTCACCATCTCCATCATCATCAAATCACTCACCATAACCATAGCCATCATTCACGCCAACTCCATACATACCAGGAGAATTTCAATATGATTTTTTATATCTTTATTTATCTTTTATTCATCTTTTATACATTTTTGTTAACTATTATTCAACATCCTTCTAATATTCATCATCTTGTTTAATTTCTAGTAATTGCATTCAAGATCCCTAAATTGAAGTCAAAACCTCTTCTCACGCCAATATCTTTATTTGATTAAATCTAGAACCCTAAGCTTGATTCTTTGAATTCGAGCAACAATCATTACTCCACTGTCATCCCCTATCAATCATTGTATATTCATTTGTAAAACACTTGTGAGCTTAATCATTGTATATTTATTATGGTTTAGTTCTAATAGAAATTCCTATACGAGATTAATACGAGATTTTATAAATATTACAAATTTTCAATATTTTGAATATAATATAATTTAATGTAGGATGATGCATTCTTTATCATTAATTTATTTCAAGTTCTTTGTGAAGGAGATATTCACACTCTGATTTGCCTATTCATTGTGATTAGAAGGGCTGGTTAGAGTCGAATATCGAGTTTGCCTAGTCAATTGCAATTAAGAGGGTTCATTGTACAACTATCCATCTATCTTCACCATCCCCATCATCATCATCATCATCAAATCACTCACCATAACCATAGCCATCATTCACGCCAACTTCATACATACCAGGAGAATTTCAATATGATTTCTTTATATCTTTTATTCATCTTTTATACATATTTGTTAACTATTATTTGTCATCCTTCTAATATTCATCATCTTGTTTGATTTCTAGTAATTGCATTTAAGAACCCTAAATTAACATCAAAACCTCTTCTCACGCCAATCTCTTTCATTGATTGAATCTAGAACCCTAAGCTTGATTCTTCGAATTCGAGCAACGTTCATTACTCCGTTGTCATCCCTAACAATCGTTGTATATTCATTTGTAAAACACTTGTGAGCTTAATTGTTAATATTGTTCAACTGTTATTTAAGTGAGAACTTATTTGTGCGAACATAATTTATCTTGTGAGGTATTTCTTTTGTTTGCTAAGTTTGTATTTAATATTTTAGAGAGTATGTACTCGAGATGTTAGGTACAAACCTTACGATATTTTTAATGTTATATCTTGTCCTTAAAGGTAGAAAAATCTAGTGGATTTGAGAAATCCTTAGTGTGAATGCTAAGGTAGTGGATGCAAACTTGGTTTAGAAGTCGAATCACTCTAAATTATTGTGTAATTTTTTTATATTTTAAATTCTTCCACACAATTTGATGGATTCCAAACTAGCATTCCTCAGAAGACGAGGTTGTACCTTTGATTTGTTTCGATCTAGGAAAGCAACAAGGATCCTGCACAAACAAGAAGCTTAAAATAGAATGATTAAATGGAAGTAATGGAATGGATAGATAGTATGGCAGCAATATATATATATATATATATATATATATATATATATATATATATATATAATGGTGATAGTTTTAATGGGAATGATGAAGTGTGGTAATGGAATAGAATGAATGTGATGGAAATGGATATGAAAGATAGTATGTTAAGAAGACTCAAAGAAGAACCAATGTTAAAGAACAAAGACCCAGACTTTATATTGCTTCTTTAAGGGGTGGTAATAAGCATTTTGACCCGCTATCTATAATGAGATAGGAACCAGAAGTATCAAGGTGAGATAGATGGGGTTGACGCCACAAGCATAAGCTTGATAAGTCGATAAAGTTCAATTAAGAACTAAAGAGATAAACTCTCACAAATTTTCATTTAAACAAAGTCTGTCTTACAAATGAAATATGAAACCTAGTTATAGGGTTTGAGGGAATGTGGCCGAATGGTACAATGTATTTTAGCCAGCCCTTTCCCTTTTCAAATGACATAATATAATGCATAACAAACAGGAATTAATGGGGTTTTGGTTCAGCTGAACAACAGGAACAAGTTTCATGGTTGAATTGCATTTGTATTCTCTCAATTTGATGCCAAGTGGATTCTCACGCATGAAACAAGGTTTGCTGGTTATATGGAGCTTCTTGGACGTGCATG